CTTAAGTTAGTTTAAACTTTAAAGTCGCCATTCCACGATGCATGAGTCAAATGTAGAATGATTAGGTGTATGCATGAAAATGTATGTATAGAAAACAATGTGAAAATAGTAGGCGGATATCATAATGGGCCTTGTGGTGGCCCAGATAGGGTGGGACCCGGCCCAAAGTTGTTTCACTTGAATTTTTAATCTCAACAAACTCAATTACCATACAAAAAAGAGGAACACATAATCATGTTAAACAAGGAGTAATTAGAGTGAGAAATTGTTTTAAATCAGCATTATATAGAAACCTAAAATATGCTATATTTTATGGACAATAAAGTGGACATGGTAAAATTTGGGCATCCAAAAACCTAGGCTTATGAATGTTGGACCTTAAAAACCAATAAATGGAAATACGGGTCTTACTACGAAAGCGTAGTTGAGTTAGATTTAAGTTATTATATTTTACAAGTATCCATTGCTTCCCATGCGGTACCACATGTCTGATGACACTCTCAACTCCCAAAAAGATTATACAATCAAATTTCTCTATAATTATAACAGTGAAACTAACTAATTTTATTACTATAAAGAGATTATAACTTAATAAAGGTGTAATTACAAAAACTTTTTATTTTATAATTCATGTTCTTGTAGTTCAGTATTAGGATTTCAATTAATGTTTTAATAGTATTAGGATTTTAATTTAGCACTTCAATTGCTTACTTTTGAAACGGATAGAAGATTGTGTTTTGGAACCAATAAAGATAAGTGTCTTTGATGGAATTGTAAATACAATTACTGTATGGTCAAATTAATGTGAAGTCATAGACAATTGTCAATTGTTTTAAGCATTACAAAATTAGGACCCCCGATGTCGATTAATTGCAAGTTACAAATAAAGTGGATAAGGAGAATCAAAGAATCATATTAGAATTGAGTGATCAGATTTGACAACTTCATTACACTAATCGAATGGATATTAATGTCTTCCTCAATTATCAAAATGAGCAACAAGTTATGTACACTTTAATTGAAGAAGAAATTATTGTTACTATTAGACAAGAAGAGAAAGGAAATAATCATCAGAATGATAGTAGGGAAATACAAAAAGTTTCATGCCAATAAGCTCTAAACATACTTGAGAAGCTAGAAATATTTGGGTTTTAACAAGAAAATGTCAATGCTAGCGGATAATGTACTCACAAGTTAAGAGATGTGATAACAACTCTAAAATATAAATCATTCATCCAAACAACTTTAGATAAATATTTTATTTCACTTTAAACCTTTAATGTAAGGTAATATTTTTTTTTTTTCAATATACAGATAATTATTACTATGTGGAGGCAACTTTCCTTAAGAAGGGAATTAAATAAATTATAACTTATTACAATGCTGAGTTTATTCTTATTTATAACTATCTCAAATTGGGAAAAAACAATTTTTTGACTATATAGAGTTTATTTTTATATAGAGTATCACTATAAAGAGGTTTTACTGTATAATGTTATGCTTTGAATTTGTTTTAAATGACTAATTCTGTACTATTTCTCTATTTAATTTTGTATATTTCCACTTCTCAAGCTTTTGGTTACCTTAGATTTGCATTAATTGTTGTTATGCCTAGAGAATGAAGGGCTGACGTAACGTCCAGTCAGCGTGCAAAAGTCAGAGCATGGGTACACCCGCAGTCGAGTCACGTGAGGAAAGGAGCAGCATGCTCCTGTCAGTGCAGTGGGTGCGCGCCAGACCAGCCAGGAGCTGGAAAGCTTCCACATGTCCAAACTCCTGCACCAAATCACGTAAATCACTCTGGAAGGTGGGCAATGGGACGTAAAGGAAGATTTGTACGGATAATCCCACCAACTCACAAATTTAGCAATCATAATCTTAATCCATCCCACTATAAATTGAGGGTTCCACTCTCATTTTGGGGATTGGCTAATCTCTCTAAGAAAAAGCAACCTATGCGCTTTCTCATTTGTAAACACTTGTAAAGTCAGTTCGCTGAGCGCGACCTGATTGCTATCATTAATAAAATATCAGTGGACGTAGCACTTGCTTCCTTAAAAACATCCGAATAACTTTAAATAATATATATACATTTCACATATTCTCACTCTCTTTCATTCAACGTGTGTTTTTTGGGCCAGCTCGGCATTTCACACGTACGTTTGGTTGGTGTCAAAAATCATGCATCAACAATTGTCTATTTCAAAAAGTTTTTGAATTTGAATTGTAAAACAGAAGAACCTCATATAAACAAAACCCAGAGAAGTTGTGCTTGAAAATGTTTGTCAAATTCAATTATTATTTCCAAGACTTGTATTTGAAACATAGTATATGATGAAATGGCATTTAATTCTTTGATAGCTAACCAAAGTTAATAAACAGTAAATTTGATTAAAATAAACATTTACCCTCTAGACAAAGAAATGGTAGGGTAACGACTACTGAGAAACTGTTAGAAGTGGAGCCCACAGTACACGTGCGTGTATAAAGCGACAGAAGTTATGGAATCTGGTCGTCGGTCAAACTTAAGTTAGTTTAAACTTTAAAGTCGCCATTCCATGATGCATGAGTCAAATGTAGAATGATTAGGTGTATGCATGAAAATGTATGTATAAAAAACAACGTGAAAATAGTAGGCGGATATCATAATGGGCCTTCTGGTGGCCCAGATAGGGTGGGACCCGGCCCAAAGTTGTTTCACTTGAATTTTTAATCTCAACAAACTCAATTACCATACAAAAAAAAGGAACACAGAATCATGTTAAACAAGGAGTAATTAGAGTGAGAAATTGTTTTAAATCAGCATTATATAGAAACCTAAAATATGCTATATTTTATGGACAATAAAGTGGACATGGTAAAATTTGGGCATCCAAAAACCTAGGCTTATGAATGAAAATGGGAATGCGGTGATCATGGAAGAATGGTAAAAGTAAATTCTAAGGTAATAATGGAAAATATTAATGATAACCAAATAAAACAAAATACATGTATTTTTTCTTCCTTTCAAACGGAAATGATTTTTAAGGCTTGGAATTTTCTAATTAAACTTTACTTCAAGCCTCAAGATTGACTTTGTTTAACAGAAAATTGTAGAGAGAGAACAAATAATGATGTGGGGATGACGTCATGCTCTCTCAATCAAATTTTTGCCAACTTGCTGATGCATACGTGTATTTCTCTGGACACAAGATTAGCGCCAATGGACTTTTCCCCAATTGGTTTGAATAGAATTATTATTATTTAAAAAAAAAATTACACAAAGCCAGATAGTGTTATTGTCTTTGTGTTTTTTATTAAGAAACTTCAATTTAATTATTATTTTTAATTCTAGAGAAACGAACATTTGTGACCACAGCAAAAAATTAGTCACAGTCTTCATGATATGCTGTTGCAATTAGTAAATATTATTAAATAAATTTTATCCTAAGCTCTACAACTGTCTTAACTGTAAGGCTGTTAAGAATGGGTATGGATAAAAAAAAATTTGAACACATCATGGCCGCAAAGTTTGAGTTTTGGACCGTTTTCAATTCCACAAAAATTTGCATTATGATTGGATATTTTGTAACTTACCTATTATTCAGATAATTAAAATACATCAAGTATAATTATTAAAGTTAAATGTTCTTTGAGAAATACTCTTTACAGATATCAAAGGGCTCAATGTAGCCTAATAAGTTGATTTAATTGTCCACGTAATTTGACAGGAAAGTAAAAAAAAATAAAAATAAATTAATCTCCTACTTGTACGCAGAGACAGTGGTGCTTCCAGTTCCACTGCAACACACGTGCGGGTAAAAAGTGAAAGCAATGATTGACTAAGAAGGCCGACATTTTTGATGGGGTGGGACCCGGGCCAATGTGGTCGGTTCCCAATTACTGTTTGAAAATAGATTCATTTATATTTTATAGACTCCACCCAATTAAGCTGAACCTGCTCAAATTTAGGTATGCATTTTGATTGGATCGAAAATGCGAGAACAACCTAAACGTAGAAATCATGACCAAATTACAAGGATTGAGGGTCTTCTTCCTCAAATTTCAAAGTGAAACGTCTTAACCCCGGAATTCTACTTCTATTATTATTGCCTATGTGCCATGTGACGACTTTGCTTGATATATAGAATTCTCTAATTCCATACTTTTTTAATGAAGATAATATAAAATATAATGGTGATAACGTCATCTGTACTTGGTTATCTTTTTTGTGTGGAATCTAAGTTCAGTTTGCTGATGCAGGCATGTGTTTTGGCTTTTAGTTACGTATATTGTACTTACTTTGGATTTGCACCTGTGGACTATTCAACAATTGGGTTGTTTTAGATAAATTTGAAGATGAAAATTTTCATCTTCAAATTCAGATTGATAAGATTTTTATTAAAGGAAACCCAGAAAATGATATACATCAAAGTGTTATTGTTAACTTTACATTGATTTCTTTTTCTAGTTCTGGGAAAAGGACTATTGAAGAAGATGGTCATGATAATAATGCAACTGTCTCACCCAAATTGGAATATATTATATTCCATGAGTGGTTGATTTTCCCACTAAATTATATCTTCTGAATCAAAACTTTTTCTCTTCCTCTTTCAATTTTGGTAGAGACTGGTTTCAATTAAATTCTGGAGATGTGATATTAATAATATCTACATCAGCTCGAGTGTTGATGCTTAAATTCTCCATGATCATTGAGATTATAAAGACATAAGCAGTTATTGTGAAATAAAGTGGAGATATGGTCAATTTAGGAATACGCAATGAAAACAACTTAATATTTGTCTTTACAGATGGACACACAAATGGGCATAGGACAATAATTAGACAATGCTTTGCTGATAAACACTCAATTTAGCCCCTCATGGAGGCCATTTTTATGTGCTTTCTGAAAACATAATCTAACTTGATGGATGCAAATAAAGGACACAGACAAAGCATATAACATATGGATAGCGTCATCCATACTCAGATAAAGGCCACGTGTGTGGATTCTAAGCTAATTAGTAATTAAAAGCGTGTCATTTGAAATAATGTGGCCTTTTAGTAATTATATAAATGCTTGGCTCACAAGCTTTCCTCTCATTGGCCAAATTTCTCTAAACAAATAAAATAAATTCAGAATTCCTAATATTTTTACACCCATAGAGGAGTGGATATCTATTTTGGAAGTGAAAAAAGAAAACACTCTACTCAAACAAGAAAGTGGCAGCTGGCCTGAGATGGCAGTGAAGGTGAACCCGGGTGCAGAAACGGTACGGGCCAATGGAGGATCCAGAATGGCGGCTAGGATTCCCCCGTTGTTCAAGGCGAAGAAGGCAAGTGTGATCCCCCCAAGGAGGAAACTTGTGAAGCGAATGATGTTTGATCGCTTAGTCCAGTTTATGGCTTCTCTATGCTCTTCTGGTGGTGCCTGCAAATCCAACAACACCACAATGAAAAATACCCACAAGTGTAAGGATCCATTTCCGTGATCTCAATATGTGTTCCAAGTTTTTTTCTTGCTCTTGTAGCTCTCCTTATCGATCATGTACGAGTTGGATTTGATATATATTGAATTGATCGCTTTATTTTTCTCTGGGTTTGTTACCATACTTGATCTCTGCATTTTTTAGTCTTCTTGTGATTGTTCTTGCTTATTGATTGCTTCAGTTTGTGCTTTTGGATAACTACAAAATAAGGATGCCCAATTGATTTAATCCCCTCCTTCACCATGAAGAAACAGAGGCCGCATGGTGATTCACTGTTTGAATGAGCCCATAAACGCTTCTGCTTGTTTTGATTCCAAAACTACCACAAAAGAGATGAAACATAAAGAGGATTCATCTTAAACCCATAATTGGAGATTAAAGATTGATGGGATTCTGATTCTTACTCGTAGAAATGCTAAGACGGTACTCTGCCCTGAAACAGAGACGGCGCCACTGCCTTTTGCAGATGCACATGCTTTTTTCAATGGTCTTTCTCTATTAGTCCATGTCCATGACTTCTCCAGTGATGTCTTTTGTCAAAACAAAGCAGCTTGTTAATTCACCCATACATCTCTGAGCTGAAAAGAAATGTAGATGAACAAACAATTGTGAGATCTTTTGACATTCAATTAAGGATTTCTTATTCAATTTCCGATAAAATCTTTACCAAAATTATATGTAATTTCTTGTTCATATTAAGAGAGAATATTATACTATATAAATTTTCAGTTTTGTTCATCCTTTTGTTTTTTATTTTCTACTGAAAACATGGGTAAAGCCTTAAAAGTAAAAGTGAAAGTAAAACAATTGAGATAATATTCAATACAAAATAATAATAGAAACCATTTGGGCTTTTGGGTCGACAACTGGGGCAGGATCTCGAGCACAGGCAGTGGATTTGGGCCCTAGTAACCCATTTGAAAGCTTGCTCGGCTTCAAAGCCGTTGACTTAAACCAACTGAGGTCTTCGCAGTTCAGATCCGTCGGCCGATGATCGTTTTGAAACTGCCAATTAACTTTACTGTCTTTACAGACGTTAATTAAGCCACTCTGATCGCAGAAGAAAAACCCAGAAAAAATATCTACTTCGTGAGGAATTTGATGGGTTTTGTTTGAAGAGTTTGAGATGGGGATCGCCGATGATATTCTGAAGTTTGTTAAAGAGAGCTGAAGGTTGCTGAAATTAACCAAGCCGGGAACTCATAAAGGGCCAAAGGGGTTTAAGAAAGAAGAAGCGTTTAGAGATTTTCTGTGTTTCTGCTGAGTTTGAGCTTTTGCTATAGCTTCATTTTGTGCTTTGGACCTCTGATTTCTAACTAGACCTGGCAAACGGGCGGGCCGGGGGTACGGGTTAAACGGGTAAAAATTGTTAACGGGTAATAAAATACCCCACCCGTACCTGGTCAGTACGTGTCGACATACTATAGAATGCTTCATTTGTAAGTTGGCCACATGAGGGGCATTTCAATTTAACTGGCAGCAAATACACTAGATACATATCAAAATCTGATTCATTGTTTTAATTGAAACACCAACTGAGAGAGAGAGAGAGAGGGAGCTTCTTCCCTCTTCCTAGAGTTATTGAAGAAATGAGCAAACGTGAGGAAGAGAGCAAGCCGGAGTCAATGTCGAAGCCCAAGAAAAATGCAAGTGTTAATCCACCAAAGAGGAAGTTAGTGAAGACAATGATGCTTGAATCAATTGTCCACTTTTGCTCTTCTCTTTTTCCTTCCTGTGGAGAGCTTCCGCAGCCCAGGAATGCTAGTGGATATGAAAATATCCCCAAACCGAAGAGTGCCAAGAAGAATAATGGTGTGTTCCCAGGTGCTCCATAGCATGCCCAATTGCCAATGCTTCCATGTTTGTCCGACTCTTTGTTGTTGTGTTTTTATATTTCATATTTTTTCTGTTGTCGTGGTCTTGTGCTTTGAATCATTATGGAATTCTATTAGCTCTATGATGATCTGTATATTTGTCATATTACTTTTTTTTTTGTTGTTGGTCTGGTGGCGATCCATGGTGATGGTATTAATTCTTATTGACTATTGTGATGGCAGTGATGGTTATTGTGTCCTTAAAATCTTCTTCTTCTGGATATTTTCTTTTTCCCTTTCTTCATCTTTCTATCGCCTTCCTCTTCCTCTTCTCCTCCATTTTTTCTTTCTTCTTGTTCCTCTTCTTTCATCCTTTTCTCTTTCTTTATCTTCATCTTTTTCTCCTTTCTTCGTTCCTCTTCATCTTTCAACTTTTTCTCTTTCTTCAACGTTATCTTCTCCTGCTCCTTCTTCTTTGTTCTCTTCTTCTATATTCTGTCTTCTTTCCTATTCTTGTTATTGACTATTGTGATGGAAGTGAGGTAGTATTGATTATTATGTCCTTAAAATCTTCTTTTTCTTTTCTCTTTCTTTCCTTCTTCTTTCTATATCCTTCCTCTTCCTCTTCTTTCATCCTTTTCTCTTTCTTCAGCTTCATCTTCATCTTTCATCTTTTTCTCTTTCTTCAACATCATCTCCTCCTCCTCCTTCTTCATCTTCTTCCTTCTTCTCTTCTTCTATATTCTGTCTTCTTTCCCATTCTTGTTCTTCATTTTTTTTCTTCTTAGTACTTCTTCTTCTTGGACTTGTTGGAGTTGATTGTGTTGGTGGATGATGACAGTGGTGGTGGGAGGCCCCTTGTTGTTAAGTTTGAATTTACTACTATATAAACCTTGTTTTCTAAATGGTTGGTGAAGATGGAATCACTGGTGCTGATGTTGGTAGCGTTCATTTTGTACGGTTGTGTCTCAGTACTTAGATCATAAATGTGGTTCCGGCTTCAGCTCGCCTTTAATAGTTTATATCTTTCTGGCTTTCAATGACTTAGAGTAACTTGAATTATACCAAATCCACACAACCTCCTGAGTCTGAAGATTTAACTCTTGGGCAAATCTCAAGGGTCCATACAGAATCCAGCATATTATCACCACAGATTATTGCTAGTCTGCAAGTGGGCAATTGTTTATTTGTCTAATCTGGAAATGGCTATTATTAATTGTTAATTACCCGCCTAAACTTAAGGGCTTTCTTGCTCTACACATCAACCAAGACTCCTACCATGATTTACCAAATTATTCTGTTTTCACAGATGCTAATTCCTTTTTCTATCCTCACTTTGCTTCTTTTCTTCTTTTTATTGATCATGATTCATGGGTCAAGAGTCAGAGTCGCCCTGAAGAGCCAACTACTTTTTACCTTTTGTCTACCATTGTTCTGCGTTGACAAAAGTCATCTTTTTTAAGGTACATCATATAAGATTGATCAATAAACTATACTGTCTCCTTTTCTCTAATTAATCAATCTCAGTAATCTAATTTAATTGATATGAATATGCAGAATCTAATTATCATAATGGTTCTGCTCAAGAACGTTGGAATTAATGGACCATCTTTGGATACGCGTTGGATCAACAATTGACATATAGAATGGGAAAAGAACAAATAAGTAGTAGCAACTACCAAAGTACAGTGTGAAACAAATCTTATACCAGGCAGGGACATTTAAACGCGCTTATCTGCGTACATCAAAGTAAGTCATTATAAAGACTATTGGATTGGTGGCTTGGATGATCAAGTCCCACATGTTCTGGGCAAATATTTTCTTTGGTTTCAGGTGTGGAATTTATTGTTCCATATATATAGTATATTATTTATTTTTCATGGACCGACCAGACTCGACTTCTTGATATGCCGGCCACTCATTCATTAGGGACCCAATTCTGAACACTACTCTACAATTATTAAATGGTAATTAGGTATTTTGAGACTTTTGAATTTGCATCAACTGGGCTTGTTAGTGTACCATTAATGTATGTGGACAATAACTATAGTCATCGGAGATTCTATGAGATTAGCCATATCCATTTGGGTCTATAAGATTAATTTCTTCAGTTGAAATGGTTTTAATTAGGTTCTTCATAATCCAAAATTAAATGTCTAACGTTATGACGGTAGTTTCTGACGCACTGAGGGCTGATGCGCACTTCGTCATGTTGGATATGCTGGAATTTTATGTAATTTTGACGCCACCTTGTTAAAATTATCATGTTGGATATGCTGGAATTTTTTGTAATTTTGACGCCACCTTGTTAAAATTAAATATTGAACTTGTAACTTCTAGAACAAGAATCGAATATATGAATCCTAAGAGTACAGATGACCACTCACTCTTCTTGAAATGTAGATGTATTTTTCAGCGTTTTTTTTCACAATGCAATGCTTGCTTCCTCCCCAAGTTAACAGTTTGCCATGAATGATGGAGCATATATGTGGGTATGTATGTACATACATTCATCTATGGCATATATGTACCTATGTATGTACATACATACATGTATGGCATATATGTGTATGACCTAACGTACATGTATGGCATATATGTATGTATGTATGTACAAACATACATTTATGGTGATTCGCCTATAACTTATTGTCATCGGGGGGATGGATACCATGATACACGACATAATTTTTCCTTATTCTCAATTTTTCAACAGTAGCAGAATACCCAAATATTAACGGCTCAAACATGAGATTTTTTTTAAACACATTTCAATTAGTTTTAATTAGAGTGAGACAGAGACAGAGACAGAGACACAGCTTCGCTCTTCAAGGTGACTCATTGAAGAAAAAACAAACTTTCGACCATCGGAACAGAGCAAGGCCATAGCAGAGGCAATGCCCCTGCAGAAGCCTGCAAGTGTAATTCCTGCAAAAAGGAAAACGGTGTTGAGAATGATGTTTGAACTTATCTTAATTTCTTTGCGTGGAGCCTTCAACCACTGCAAGAATGTTAGTAGCTCTAAAAAGAAGGCCAAAACACCCAAAGGAAATAAGGGCAAGAAGAATGGTGAGGTCGTCCCGGGTCCTCCGTAGCATGCCAAGTTGCCAATGTTGTTGTTGGCGGTTTTTTTTTGTTGTTGTTCTGTACTGTTCTGATTATATTATGGATTAGCCCGTGTTTTAATTGATGATTATGTTTGTCGATTACGTTTTGTTATCATCTTCGGTGGTGGCGACGGCGGCGGAGGTGATGCGCCGACGGTATCACGGTGGTGTTGGCGATTATAGTGGTGGTGGTATGGCATATGGGTTTATTGCTATTGTGTATGAATAATTGTAGGTGTTGTCGCCGGTGTTGATGGTGGTGACGGGATCGTGGCGGTGGTAGTGATGGTATACGGTGTTGACGGCGGTAGTGTTAGGACAACGGTGGGGGGTGGAGATGACGGTGTTCATGTTGGTGAGGTGATGGTGATTGTGGGGACACTGGACACGTGTGCTGGAGATGGTGGTACTTTTAGGACAACGGTGGTGGTGAGAACGGTGTCGATGTTAGTGGTGGTGATGGTGACTGAGGGGACACGTGTGCTGGGGATGGCGGTGTTGATGCCGGTGATGGAGACGAGTTTGATGGTGGTGACTGCCACGGCGTTGATGGTGGTAGTGTGAGGACATGGGTGGTGGTGATAGCGACGGCTTTGATGGTAGTAGTGATGATTGTGTTGTGTGGGTGGTTGTGATCTTTATGGGGTTGATGGGATGATGTCAGGACACTGGTGGTGGTGACGACAACATTGTTGATAGTGGTGATGTGAGGATAGGGGCGACTGTGGATGGTGGTGATATGGCGAGGAGATCAGTGTTGATAACGGTGGCAGGACACCGTTGGTGGTGATGGCGACTGAGTTGATTACGGTGGTGATGTGGAGGTATAACGCGATGTTATCATGTCTTAGAATAATTATAAATTGTTGTTGGTGGGATGTGTATTGTTTGGTTACTGAATTGGTGATGGTGGTGATTATACTATCACTCGACATCTTCTCTTAAATCATCATCTTCAACTTTGTTGTTGTTATCTCTGAAACTGATGCTTCTGGTAGTGCTTCGTATTTTCATAAATAAAGAGTCTTTTTTTCAAATTGGCCTTGGCCTCTTCTCAGAATTAGATGTAGACAACATCCTAAACCTGGAAGATGTGCGGCTTTTTGCAATTCTGGCAGCAGTCCGCTACTTCTTCTGGAGAAAGCATATAAACCCACCATATCATTAAATAATTGATTGATTGATATTTGATTTCCGGCAATCATACAAATAAATCCTTCTGGTTTCAGGGTTACCACTTACCAATTCATTTTCCACCATCAGATTCTTTATTTCTTCCTTCAACTGTCATCAGTCAAGACTCACCCTCTTCATTGGGCAACATGAAAGCAACTTATTAACTACTCTATGAGTTGAGACAATGTTAACTGACAA